GCTTTAAGTGTATGAATATATAGTTGAATATATAGTTTTCATTCAGCACTTTAAAAAAATGGTGTGTGTGTGTGAGAAATGTTATGGGGAGCAATATATTATTGAACATAATCCCATTGTATTAGTATGTTTTTGTGTTAGTGGCAAGTGTTGCAGAACTTGCATTTCATGGCTTTTCCCCCTTTCATCTTCTGTCAATAATTTGGCATAAGGTTAATACATCTTTTTAAAGACACTGACTTTGTTTCTGCTTTGGAGTTGACCCAAAATGTTTTCTTGTTGTTGGGTTTTTTGTTTTCGTTTTGATCAACTCTAGCCGCAGCAAGGACTGATTGTTTAAATTGTGTTAAGTTTAGGTTTTGTTTAGTTCAGAATAATGCTGTAGAATATCTGCAGAAGTAGTTTTGGGGAATTACAATATTGTAGGGACACAAATATTGTAAGAATTGTTACAGTGCTTATGCTGAACCCTTAAGAGTTTTCTTGATGCTACAGCAGATTAATAATTTAAGTCTGGAAAAAGTGTACTATATTCTGAGTTTGTCAAATATAGATTGATATAATTGTATATGTCTTTCTAATCAAGATGTATCCATAATTTATTGTATGTCAAAACACAAATGTGTCTTTATTTTTTGTAAAATTACATTTCTGTTAGATTCACACCCTGCTAACAAATTATGGTTGTAAAGCAGGGATGATATAAGATCTTGCTGTATTTCTGTGGGCAATTCAGATCATGTCTGGATCCTATTAATGAATTTTGATCAGTTAACACAGCCTGGGCCTGATTCTTATGTAAATATGGGATATAATTCAGCATCACTTTTTTAAAGAGGTTACTAATTTTTAGTGTGGACTATTTTTACTCTCCATTGAATAAAGTATTACTTTGGAAACTGGAAAAGGAAATATTCTTCCATAGCATTTTGTCTGTTCCCATTTGAGAAGCATTGAGACTTCCTATTTTGATTAGCGCTGAACCTAGTGTGCTAATGTGACTAACTCTTTATAGAGTTTTTTGCAAAACATGTTTGTGTAGCAGCATCACAGATTCATGTGAGCACAGCTGTGGGGATGAAATCTGCCATAATTAATTAACTACGCAAGGGCCCTGACAAAATTGTGTGGAGATGGTCTCTAACAAATAGAAGAATTAAATTTGTTTGAGACTTTCCATAGGGATCCTTTGAAGTGCTTGTTTAGAATGGTTGTATGTGGAAGTAGTCCTTAGAAATCCATTATATTGGTTAAATGTTGGTGGTAAACTAGCAGTTGGAGCACAAAAACATTGTTACAGTGATCATAACACACTGATTGATTGATTAAGGGTGGCTCTTTTCAAGTATCTAATTGGAATCCCAGGGTTTCCTACCAAAGATTTTAGCGGTGATTGGGGCATAGAAAGTCCTCAAATGGTCTCTGAGCTTCAAAATGTGGACATTTAAAATAGTACATTCTGAAACAGTTAATTTCCTTTTGTTTCACAATCTTAACCGTAGTGTTAAATGTGATTATACAAATTGTCTCTGTCAAAGATAAATGAACTGGAAAATATTAAATACAAATTGTCAGCCAAAGAAACAGATGAATATTAATCTAGAACTAAACAGTTTTTGTCTAGATATTTAACTAGATAATCCTTAGGGAAGATGGTGGCCCCTTAGGCTGTCAAGAGACAGAGAAGCAGGTAAATGGAGGCAGTAGTCATCCTTGCTAAGGGCCGTCTTTGTCTTCTTTGAGAACAAATGAGAGTTGACAGGTATTTTGAGAAGGCCAACTTTACTAAGGGCAGCCTGAGTCAAATCTTTTCAGAATCCTAGGAGGTGGCAGCTAATTTAAAAGAGGGTGATTCAAGTTTCTTTGAAGGAAACCACTATTCTTCAATCTCTGCTGAAGGAGAAACTTTCATTTCATTTATGAAGATTAATGGAAAATATTATCCTTAGTTTATTAAAAGAAATTGTTAGGAATTTATCAGATCTGTTCAACAGTTACCTCATTACCATTTTTGTGTAAATAATGCCTGAGCTGAGATGATTTTGGATGATAAAAGATCTGACACAGAGTGCTACATTTTTATAGCATGTGTTTAAAATTAATTGTAACTTGTAAACAATTAACAGATTTACTTGTAAATTCTTAAAATTCATTAAATACTTAAATACACAGAGTAGTTATTTTGGGAAAGATGTATTGTATTCTTCCATACAGAAGTGATTTCATTTCAAAAGAAGGAATTCAAACTCAGCCTCTGCTATGGCGCTGCAGCTGGTGTCACCATCATACCCGTTTTAAGTTCTAAATAGGAATATTTGTAAATAGAAGAGAGGCATAAAATCTGTTGCATTTCTTAGTTTATTGTGATAACCTTTGAACTCCACATCTGATCAACTCCAAACTTCAGGAAATGTTCTAGACATCAGTGGGCAGAAGAGTATTAATTTTGGTGAGATTTGGAAAATTGGAAGGGGGAAATGGTCACATGGAGCCCCTTGCATCTGGTTAGCAGATCCAGCAGCTTCCACCAGCTCTGTAATTATCTATAGATCAAAGAACCAGCAGCTATTAATACTTTACAGCATAACTTTGCCCATCCTTTCAATATAGTTTAAAATGTTAACATCTGAAATGACTTGTCTTCCAGACAAAAAGAAGAAATAAGAATAGTGAAAGGAAAGGGGGTGTTCACAGAGATCCTGAAATGGGGAAAAGGGAGGGGTGGAGGTTGCAGGAGTCTCTGGGTATGTCTACACTACAGGATTAATCCGAATTTAGATAATTCGAATTTGGGAAACAGGTTGTATAAATTCGATTGTGCGCGGCCACACTAAGCACCTTAATTCGGTTTTAAACCACATTAATTCGGTGGTGTGCGGCCACACTACCCCATTAACTTAAACACAGTAATTCGGTGGTGTGCGTCCACACTAACCCTAATTCGAATTAACAAAATCGATTTAGGCTCTACTCCGTTCGTCGAGGTGGAGTACAGAAATCGATTTAAAGGGCCCTTTAATTCGAATTAACTGGCTCTGTAGTGTGGACGGGTGAAGGGTTAATTCGGATTAAGGCAGCTAAATCCGAATTAAAGTCCTAGTGTAGACCAGGCCTCTGAAATAGACAGGAATGGGAGAGTGGCACACAGACAGCTTATGGGGAGAAATGGAGGGATGCAAAGAGCCCAGGGTGTATGCAGAGAGCTCAGCCGATAGAAGCAACAAAGTGTGCGGCCCTCTAGTATTTCACCTGTAAATAATGTAGGTGTATATCTTTCCATAGGTAGTTGTTTTGTTAAAAGAATTTTTTTTTTTTTTTTTTGGAAAACAAGTATACATTTTATTCCTGCTCCTTTCTGGGATGAAAGACAAATTTGAATAGAATGTGTATTTTTGGTTAAACTCTTTTAATAAATGATTCTGTGAAACATACATCGTATAGTATCTAAGTATGCCATTATGAGAAATTGGAAATTAACCTACAGAGCTCCAAGAAAATTTGTCTTGGGAAGTGTGAAGTTGGGAAGGAGGTGACAAATAGCCAGTAGCTCCTGCACCTAAATGTTGTCTGAGAGTAGGGGTTCTTGCAACAAATTTTTTGGTGGCCTCAAAGTGCGGCCACCAACTCTTGCTGGTGTGACAGTTTTTCCAAAAAACGTAATTAGCTTTAGGAAAAACAAATAAATATGCACATATACCTGTCCAAATCATTGTAATTTATTTATGTAGGGTTTTTTTTCAGACTCAGTAACAACAACAATGTACAGTTATCTCTATTCTTTACTAATTTTATTTACTATTCTAAACAGAATAGAAACACAAATAAGGTGTTTTGCGTATTCTTGTCTTTTTGTTGTTCCTTTTGCCTTTTTGGTTTCTGTTTTTTAATAAATTGCTAGTTAGTAAGTCTGTTTCTATGAAAAGTGATATATGTATATTAATATCACTTTTCGCAGCAGCAGACTTGTTAGCTAGCTGGGAGGCAGTGAAAAGTGATATTAACAAACATACAAGTATCACTTTTCACAGCAGACTTACTCAGCCCTGGCAAGCTGGGGGACAAATTAAGCCTTGGATGGGTAGGTGGTAGGTGGGTAGGGAGGCATTGGGGGCCAGGGGTGATGGGATGGATGGGTCATGGGGCGGGGGAGGCAGCGGGGGCCAGAGGCAATGAGTGGGATGGTGAGCCTGAAGCCCAGTGGCCAGAGCCTGCCACCACATGGCCAAAGCTTGCCACCTGCCACCCCAGGGCTGAAGCCCGAAGCTTGAGCCCCATTGCCCATGGGAAGGTGGAGAACTGACACCAGCTGTCTACTCCCCCAGCATTTGTGGCTCGGGGGGGGGGGGCAGGGCCCAACCACTTACTTGCAGACCCAGGGAAGGGGCAAATGCTTGGCCCTCCAATCACCGCCTGGGTGGCTGTGGCCGCAAGAAAAGCCTCTGGTGGCCACATTTGAGAAACGCTGAAGTCTGTGGAAAAAATGCTTTTTAACAAGACTTCCTTAAATGTTAATATTTAGGATATTGTATTGTTTTAAAAAAATAGGTCAGTATGCTATTTTTGAGAGGTCTTGCTGTATTCCAATGAAGGTGGTGATTGCTTTAAACAGAACAATATACTTTCAAGTGATATATTAAGCATCAGCAAGTTAAAATTTCTGACTGAGTTTTTTTTCTTGTCTTGTTTAAGGTATTCAGACTAAATAGCTATTTAGAGAGTCACTGTCAACTTTAAATCTAGTAAATTAAAAAATTAAAAGTAATTTCAGATACTCTGCATACTCCTGAATACCCTTGTCTATGTTAGTGGCTCTATAAATACTACTTTGGAGAACTGTAATGCTGCATACAGTTATATTTTAAATTAAATAAAACTAACTGCAACATAGCTATCTGAAATGGGTTGTTTTTAGAAATCTGTTCTAAAAATTGAATATTTTTTGGGAAGGTGTATATCAAACATAACTTACTCATAACTGTTTTTCTCTGTTTATTTTTAAGACGAGCAAAAATCAAATTAAAGTAGATCTTGTAGATGAGAATTTTACAGAATTAAGAGGAGAAATAGCAGGACCTCCGGACACACCATATGAAGGCAAGTAATGTTTTTGCGTATGAAATCATTGTGCACTTCAAATAATGTGTCTTGGGTTGCTTTGTTTATAAAGTCAATTTACAAAATAAGAAATAAAGCGCTACATATTTTGAAACGAGCCATTAATTTATGTGGTTTTAAATTAAATATTTAAATTTAAACTTTGAAAAAGTATCAGTTACTTTTTCATGTGATTATATGTAAATTTATTTAGTCTGTAGCATAACAGACTTTACCATGCAACTTGCAAGGACTAAGTTGCAGTTTGGGCTGTGCAATAGAATTGTAAAAGATATAGTAAGAAGGATGTTTAGTTCCGTGATGCAAGATACAGTTATCATGCTTGGTAGGGATATGTAAGTTTGTAACTGTCTCTGGGATCTGGAAGCAAATGTGTATTCTAGGCCTGGAGAAACCTAGAGTACAGAATAGAGTAATTGTCCAACATGGGTTACGAAGCACTGTTGTAGAGAATATATGTGGGTTTTTTTTGAAGGTATTTTATATTTTTTTCAACTTGTCAGGAGAGGCACCTCTCCATTAGAAGAAATTTGGAGGTCTACCTGTTTCCATAGATCCCTCTATTTAATTTTCCATTGGGGGACCTTCAGTAGTAGACTGGGTGTTTACAATTATCCTGAAAATCATATAGCCTATTCTCTAGTTTCTCTGTGGTATGAATCACAACCAAGTATATAGTTTAAAAAAAAGACCATAAAAAAAATTTTTTTGTTCCAGATATAACTGATAGTGGGATTTCACCTAGCAATCCCAAATTGCTCAATTATCTTTACATTTGTAATGTGTGTATATAATTCAGGTGGAGCTGGCAGTGACTCCTAAAGTTAGGGTTTGCTTGACATTTGTCAAAAGACCCTGTTTTCAGTAGCTTTGCTGAACTGTATGTGCCAAAATTTTCTATGCCGATTGTCTGTCTCAGGCTAAACTCTGGAAAAGTTTCAGCAAAAGCAGTTCAGCTGTTTCCAAAAAAGCAAGGTTACGGGAAAGTAAGCCCTTTTGCCAATGTTAAAAACTTCTTACAAATCTTCATTGAGAAGCTCTGGTACCACCAAGATTTGAAGCAGGGACTTAAAATTTGATAGGGGTGTCATTCTGGAGTCAGACATCTGCTTTTTATCATCCCTGTGAAAATCTTCCCAAATTTAGTGGATTTATAAGTCTCTGAAAATTGCTGTTCATACATGCTCAGTAGAGGTTTGTTAGAGGCTGGCAGCAAAAGTCTCAGAATATTCTATCTCTGAGCATGCTTTAACCCAGTATTTAGGAGGACTTTCCCTGTGCTTGCTTCTCCTTGCTGGTCGGTGCTGCTTTGGCACCAGGCTGTAACTGGAAGCAGGAGTAACCTGAGTCCCAACATTCCTCTGCTCCCAGGTAAATAGCTGTGAAACCCATTAGTGAAATGTCTCATCCCTCCTGCAGTGGTTGGTCCACAGAGGATAATAGCCTGTTTTTGCTACCAGTTACACTGTTAGCTGAAGTTGTACAAGTGTCTGTGCTATGGATCTAAAGGTTCTAGCGCTGTAAGTGACTCACATGAGGGTCAATATCATTTCACTTAATGGAATTTGTTTTTTCAAAAACTTTAAGATTTTTGTTATGTTAAAAGAATATTAAGTTGCAAAGTCAAGCACTCAGAAGTTAGGAAATGGCAGAATGAAGGTTGCTTGTACAGCCACATAATTCATCCTCCTTGTGTGTATGCACTGTGATAGTGTTTAATAACATGATAATATACTTTTTTCCCCCTACAGGATCCTACCATATCAGTATACAGAATGGATGGTGCTCAGGAAATCCATCAGGGTTATTTTTGATTGAGGCTGTGGCCTGTAGGACCCATTTGTTCTAGAATTTAGAAGTTTTGTAGCGACTGAGGCAAAGGACTGCAGGAAGAGAAAGGATATCTCATAGTTAAAACAGCTGAATACCAACATGGAGAATTGGCTTCTTTGCCACAGAGTTCCTATGTGATGCTGGGCAAGCCACTTAAACCAAACTTTTCACAGTTGACTACTAGTTGTGTATCCCTCACTTTCTGAATGCCCAAATTGATACTTTGGGCCTGATTTGTAGAAGGGCAAAGCACTTGCAGCTGAAACCAAAGTCAGCAGTATCTGTGCTTTGACTGTATAAACATGCTGTAAAAATGCTGAGTACCCTGAAAAATCAGGCCATTGGTTTCTGAAACTGGGTATCCAAAATTACGGGGCCCATATGATGATTTTGGGCTTAATCTCTGTGTCTCAGTTCCCAATCTGTAAAATGGTGATAATGCAGATAAATGGAGATAATATCTCATCTGGGTATTGTGAAGACAAACTTATTAGTGCTTGTTTCAGAGTAGCAGCCGTGTTAGTCTGTATCCGCAAGAAGAACAGGAGTACTTGTGGCACCTTAGAGACTAACAAATTTATTAGAGCATAAGCTTTCGTGGGCTACAACCCACTTCTTCGGATGCATATTGAGTGAAACATATCGAGGAGATATATATATATTATGCTCTAATAAATTTGTTAGTCTCTAAGGTGCCACAAGTACTCCTGTTCTTCTTATTAGTGCTTGTGAAGCACGTGGATACCAGGATGAGGGCACTATAGAAACACCAGGAGGAAATGAGTAATTCCGTATTTAGTGCAAGGTTTGGATGATGTGAGGTGTATAAGGCATGGACACATTGATGAGTTTAAAAAATATTGAATGACTACTTATTCAGTGAGCACCATCCTTTTCTGGTCACTGAATAAGGCAGGAATTATGTCGATTGAAAAAAATAGCACGATCATGTAATTGGACTGTATTATAGTGTGTACTTATAAGGCGGTCAAATTAAGATTACATGAGCAACCTTAATTCTGGCATTTCCTAACTTTTGAATGCTTGAGTTTTCAAGCTGAATGTTCTTTTAACATAGTTTTATGCATTTATTAAGATTATGTATATAGACATATAGGTCTATAAATGGATATAGACAAAACAGTAACACTGTACTACTGTTTTGGGTAAACAATGAAGAATATCTAGTTGAAGCTGCAGGTGAATATCAGGGTTAACCTTAAGGAGAAGTGCTATATGACCTTTTTTTTTTTTTTTAAATAACCACAAATGGTAAGGACCTTGGTTTTCTGTTTCTGAAAGTGGTAAATTCCTATAGAAAAGTGCTCCATAGGCCATATTGGTGTATTAGTTTAATACTGGATCCAAAGGAAGCTTGCCATCTAATGAATTGCCAACACACACTTCCTTCATCATCATCCTTTTTTTTTTTTTTAAAGGTTTCCCACCCAAATATTGACCAGTTTCAACTGTACTTAGCTTGCATAATGTTTAAAAGATCACAGCCTGAATTGGTACAGCTTCCAGTCACTTTACAAAAAAGTAGATAGCAAGAGTTCTGGAAATCCAGATTAATGGCTGGTGTGTTCTGCTTGTCCGTAGATGACACTCTAAAAATGTTCTAAAGTGGTAGTCTAAAAGCAGGTGTGTTAATGTTTTGTTTATTTTTTTTTAAATCTCTTTAATGAGAGACTGGTGAACCACAATAATAGTAATTTCATTTCTTAGTGTATGTATTTGATTTATATCAGGTGAGTGAGTACAGTAAATCTGGTAACATTAGACTTGAGGTTTGGTCTGGGCTTTAAGTGTAGGACTTCCTAATATGTGTGTACAGTAACTCCTCACTTAAAGTCGTCTCGGTTAGCGTTGTTTCGTTGCTGATCAATTAGAGAACATGCTCGTTTAAAGTTGTGCAATGCTCCCTTGTAACATTGTTTGGCAGCTGCCTGCTTTGTGCACTGCTTGCAGAAAGAGCAGCCCGTTGGAGCTGGCTGGTGGAGGCTTGGAACCATGGTGGACCTGCAGCCCCCCTATCAGCTCCCTGCTCCCCTAAGTGCCCTGTGCAGCAACTGCCCAGCAGGCTATCAGTTACCGGCAGTTCAGCTGTCCCTCCCCCCACTGCCATGTGCTGCTCCTGCCCTCTGCCTTGGAGCTGCTCCCTGGAGCCTCCTGCTTACTGTGCATGGTCGGGAGGAGAGGGGGGGCTAATGTCAGGGTGTCCCCCTGCTCCTGCACCCCGCTTACCCCATCCCCATAGAGCGGGGGTGGACACATGACAGGGCTCAGGACAGAGGGAGCTTGCTGGCAGCAGCTGCTGTCTCAACTTGCTGATCTACTTAAAAAGGCAGTGTACTTAGAGTGCGGTCAGCCTACTTAAAGGGGCAGTGCGCATCTCTCTCTCTCTTTCTCTCTCACAGGGTGTGTCTCTCTGTCTGCCATGCTGTCTCCCCTCCCTCCATTTGTGCTGCCTTGTAGATTGTGAGGCTACATTAACAACAATTCGTGTTAACCCTTGAGGGCCCAGCCGAGTACTACTTCATCATTTAGCATAAGGCATTCCCTGGGAAATATCCTACCCTCTGATTTCACCACCTCAACCAAGCTTCACAATCATCATTGCTGTGTACAGTATTAAATTGTTTGTTTAAAACTTATACACTGTGTGTGTGTGTGTGTGTATGTATATATAAAAAAATATAGTCTTTTGTCTGGTGAAAAAAATTTCCCTGGAACCTAACCCCCCCATTTACATTAATTCTTATGGGGAAATTGGATTCGCTTAACATTGTTTTGCTTAAAGTCGCATTTTTCAGGAACATAACTACAACGTTAAGCGAGTAGTTACTATAATAGAAAAAGCAAGGCTTTTGAATATTGCTTTAAGAACTTATCAAACAGTTTCAGCAGAAATATTGAGGTACATACAGAAGTTACATTTATATTACAATCGCATTCCAAGACAGATGTAACAATAATAATTAGTGAGCAAATAAAGTTAACCTTTTATCTAGATAAATTTGTATAAAAGTTAATTTAGTTTGTAAGCTCTTTGGAGCAGGGATCTGTAATTTATTTTTGTATGTAAATGCCATGCATGGCCATGGTGATGTATAAATAGTATTAGTTTATTGTCCCCTACTGAC